CTTTAAAAAAAAAAAAAAAAGAAATGAAAATTCTTGGCCAGTCCCAGCCCTATCCAAACATAAACTGAATGTCTGAACACATTGTTCAGGCGATGTGCTCTGAGTGATTCTGATGCGTGGTGTGAGAACCACTGATCTAGACCTTACCTTTACAACCACCATACACCCCCAGAATGTCTATAAAGATGCTGTGAAAAATCTTTAGTGTTTCTGTAATATGGCTTTCAAGATCCCCAACTTTGCTTGCAGCCTGACTTCTTTTTCTCTCCATGCTCTCCCTGTTCTTCATTTTAGAATTAATTTTGTTGCATGTTGTGCCCTGTCCATTCCCTGTACTGCCCACATCTTTTTCATTCCTGTTTTTCCAGAAACGCCTCCATTATTGCTTATCAGAAGCCTATCCATTCTTTAGGTTCTAGCCAAACACCGTCTCCTTTGTGTGGTGTTCTCTGGTCACCCAGCTGGGAGTGCATCTTGGTCCCTCCTTGTGCTCAGTTGCGGCTAGCACCTTGTGCATTGCACTAGAGAGTGCTTCTTACTGGGGCTGATCTGGCAATATCTGCAGACAGTTTTGATCATCCCAACTGCAGGTGGTGGTGCTACAGGCCTCCAGTGGGTAGAGGCCGGAAATGCTGGTAAGTATCCTACCCTGCATCTCACCCTTTCCCCCAAACAAAGAATTATTCAGCCCCAAACATCAATAGTGTATTGGAGGAGAAACAGCTCCGGAGCACGACGCGTGTCTTCTATCATCTCTCATGATGGTTATCAGCACCACCTGAGGTGACGTCTCTCTTATGTAAGCACATTCTAGTAGAGTACCAGGCATGTTATCGAAACTTTTGTCTTTATTTTATTGAGGAACCAAGCGATGAAATATTGTGAAAAAATGTTAAATGTGTGATGCTAAGGTGGCCATTGTTGGAGTTCATGTCAAGAATTCCATGGTCTTAACTGAGGATCAAACTCTTGACTTAAAACCCCACTTTCCCCATTTCCTGGTGTGCTTTGTTTGTTTGCATTTTTAGCTACCTCCTCCTCTATGGCTGAGGAGATAGCAGGTGCAGCCTGGTGGTTTGTTACTGAACTGACGGGAGACACTGAGGTCAAGTGCTTGCCTTGCTAGACCCGAACTGGCTATTTGTATTAGTTCTCTGGTTTGGAGAAGAACATGGGCTCATTGCTTTGGAGTGTTGTTGTTGTTGTTTGTAAGTAACTGGAGGTCTTGGCCTCTCAACTTCGTAAGGCCAAGGATTGTCCCCACATCCCAGAACCTTCTTCCTGTTTACAGGTTACAAAAGAGTATGTGGCCTTGCCTCGAGAGGAGGTTTTCCAAGGAATGGAGACCAGTGCACTTTAATGAAGATCCCGGCCTGAAATGTGCCACTTTCCCTTTGAAGGGACAGAATCACCAGGTGGGAAGAAAAATTGGTTCTCAAAGTTGGACAAAATACTCAATGTCTTCAGACAGCCAAACCTCACTTCTCAGGGGCACAGTTCTCAAGGATGGGGGGACAGTATCAGGCCCTAAAGAGGAGCTGAAGTAAGCGGAACAAGCAAACCAAATAAATTGAAATTTTGCTGCTGAGTTTAACACTGCTTTTTTTTTTTTTTTAAACAGCAGTTTTCCGTAACATGTGAATCTTGCTAAGGTGAAATGGGTCATCAGTGATTAACGTTCCCCTAGTTAGCACCTAGTGTGATGTGACATCTCTGTCACCCTATTTCTTATAAACCTGTTTGATATTTTATTGTCTAACTCATAATTGGGAATTCGGATGAAAGCATTAATGTGTGGCATGAAACCTGAATCAATATTAAAAGATCTTATTTTTAAATATTAATATCATTCAAGGTGGTATAATTTAAGTATTCCCTTCATTAGTCCCTGGTGATCAAAACTCTCAAGTGAAAAAAAATTGGTCTGTTTTTCATACATAATGTCCAGGTTTTACAACTTATTAAATGCATTAGGTGTATGTACATGATCCACTACAAGGATTGAGAGAAAAAAATTTTCTAGTTTCTTTTCTTCCCTCCTTTGCTCTGAAAAACACCACTCCCATCTCAGTAGATAATCCAAGATCTGGAGGCCCTTGTAGACCCAAGAGGCAACTATTTGCAGGGGGCCAGGGGTGCGGTGGGGGTGTTGGACTTGGGTCACTTCAGCACAATGAAAGCAAAACCAAACAAAGCTTTCTTGCCACTGGGGGCTTTTATCCAATACAGCCCTTGTTATGAATAACAAATCACCAGCTGATCAACCTTTACTGCCAAGGGAGCCTGTGGGGGCTTTAGGTCATTTCATGGTTTATGTAAAATCTCATCTATTTGTCTAGTACCCATCTATACCTCTCATCTATTTATATCATCTATCATCTTCTGTCTATCAATCACTTCTCACTCTCTCCTAATTTACTTGTGTGTATGAGTGTGTGTGTGTGTGTGTGTGTATGAAAAGGGGAAAAGGATTGCTTTGAATAACAACAAACACTTTTAATTTTCTTCTTCCTACCTCTACGTCTGAAGCCAGAGGCCCCTGGCTGAACTGGTTATCCCTGCCCCACACAACGTGCCGTCAAAGAATCCCAGGCAGTAGAGGTATCCTTGGTCTTCCCCGGTCACAAATGCAGGCAATGCATGGACTCAAAAGCATCAAGGAAATATGAAATTCCTGCTAGGAAGACTTTTTAGCACATGCAGGAATTCCCTCATGCACAAATCCAGCCAGGAAGGAGTTGCATTGTTTACTTTTGGACAAGTTCAACCAGCTACTGGGTTATGCATAAGTCTTATCTACCTGGATGAACTTCACTAGTTCCTTCTATGACACAGATGAAGTGGATACATCATTCTCAGTGCTGTAGATTTCTCTCTCTCCACAGGGGCTGGAGCATTCCTGTGAGGGAAGCCACAAACGTGGAGTCCTGGAGTAAACAGTGCAACAAGGTCCAGCTTGCAGGTAATTTGTAGGACAATTCATATGTAAATTTCTGTCTCCTGCTCTATTCGGGAAATTAGCTTTTCGTTTGCAAAAATATGCATGAACAAAAAATCTTTTGATTGTTGTTAAATTTGGAGAAGGAATCACTGATTTTGGACTTTGAGCTGAATTAAACTATGTAGCGTGAAGGGGAGCAAGTTTTAAAGGAAGATGGCAGCCAATTTCTTTTGTTATTTAATTTTTATTTTTTCCAAGAACAGTTAACATTTACTTAGGCACCTATTGGCCTCAGTCACTTGCATCTAAAGAGCAAAGCTAATTTACCCACAGCCCGTGTTCTTTTAAATGGTTAGCCTTATTTCTTAGCTCTGTTAACCACTATTCTAACATTAGCTTCAAGTTCAATTTTAATAATCTAATCCATAATGGTCCACTGCTCCCTGCCACATGAACAAAAAGTTTGGGGGTAATAAGGCGAGCAGTTTACATTTTCTGTTGATACTTCAAGTAATTGGCCCTAAAGTGAAATTATTGAGTTGGCCATGGTTTATTGTATTCTGAGGGCATAAAACATGGAAGGGAATGGACCTGTAGAAAGAAGTGGTATCCAAGAGTGTGTGAATGTGTGAAAATCTTGTAACTTCACTTCAACTGGCCTAATATCCTGAGTCACTAAATGGTCGGAAGGATAGATAGAGTACAAGAGGAACAAACTGATGTACATTTATACCAAAAACCAGAAACAAAGCTTGTACAAGGTGAACAGCAAATGAAATAGCTTCTATCAAAATAAAATCTCACACAGGTCATTTTTATACATATGTGGACATACACACACCCTCACACGCACAGACACACAGGCAAGAATGTGTATTTTGTAAGATAGGTCCCTGGAAATAGACATTCTTAGCAGATATGGATGACAGATCAATTGTAATTTATTTTCTTTTAACACTGTATCATCATAAAGAAAACTGGTATAAATGAAAAAATCTATTTCAAATATCTACATCTAAAATTTTAGGCAGTGAAAAAGCACTTTGTTGACAAGGAGTGTGGAATGATGTATGTTAATTGTCAGAAACTGCTGAATGCCTTGCTTAGTTGCCACAAACAAATTCACATATCAGAACGAACAATACTGCTAAATATTCCTTTTTTTCCCTTTTTTTTTTTTTGTTAAAACATACTGGGAGAAAGAAAAGAAAAGAAAAACTGGAAATCCATACATCTTTCAAAAGTTTGAAATTGAAGCAATATTTAGAACCATAGATGAGGAAACACTGCCGCATGGTGTAATGTACACGATGCGCTCTTCTTCTTTAATCTGTAATGTACATCAAATACTTTACAACAATGCATTAACAGAAGGCAAGAAACATCTTGCTGTACAGAGGAACCCCAATGCAACTTGAAGCCTAGAATCACAACGGATGAAGAGAGTCAACAAAGCGTGAGAAGCCGTCCCTCTCAAGGGTGTGACCTACACCGCCCCTTGTGCTTAACGGTAACCTTCACGCCCCACCACCCCGCCTGTCTCCTCTGCTGCCTTCCGCCACATTCAAGATAAAGCACTTTTGATACTCTACAGCTCCAACTAGAAAGGTATTGTACAATGTCATATTCAGGATCACTTCAGCTTCCTATTGACTTCCAAGTTAACGCTCGGTGCATTTAGCTTTCTCAAAGAGCTCTTAATAGTTCCTTACTGGTTATCACAGCCTTCCTACGGAACAGGCTTTAACAAACTAAATTTGCAGGGGGAAAAAAAAAGCAATGTCTTGTGGTATGCATGCACATGCACTGTTCCCGGAGCGCCTCGTGCCGCCCACTCCTCACACCCAGGAGTCGGGGGAGGCCGGGTAGTGGCTCGTTTCATAGTTCAGTTCACTGTAGGGACGGGCAGCTGAGTAGAAGTCGACATAGTTGCCGGTGGACTTGAGTCCCAGGTGCATGGTGTACTCACTGGCGGGAGGGCGATGGTGAACCTGGTCCTCGAAGAAGGACTCGTCGTAGTTTCTCGTGGAATTCTGAAACGGCTGGTAGGTCTCGTAATCCTTCCTGCTGGGCTCCTGTGGGACGGGCTGTGCTGGAACCTGCATAGAAAAGAAGATCCACCTGGGCTGGTTTGCTTTCCCCGGATGCAGCCTCCCCAGGGCCAAGGCACTGGAGCCTCCCAGGAAGGCTGGGCGGCCACCCACGCATCCACCAGCATGGCGCGTCTCCAAATACCGCCAACTGTTGACGGCCCTTCCTTTTACAAGTTGCTTCATGTGTCCACACACTAGCATTCTACAGAATCTTTATTAAAAAATATGATTCTGGTAAGACAGACATAACATATAATTTGCCATTTTAACCGCTTTTAAGTGTATAATTCGGTGGCATTAAGTATATTTGTGGCATGGTGCGGCCATCACCAGAATATTCCAGAACTTCGTCATCACCTCAAACAGAAACTCGATACCCACTGAGCATAACTCACCACTTTCCTCCTTGCTTCAGCCTATGGAAGCCATCATTCTACTTTCTCTCTCAATTTCACTACTCTAGACACCTCACCTAAGTGGAATCATACAATATTTGTCCTTTTGTGGCTGGCTTCTTTCACTTTGCATAATGTCCCCAAAGGCCATCCATGTTGTAGCATGGGACAGGATTTTGTTCCTTCTTAAGGCTGAACAATATTCCATTGTATCAGTATACCACATTTTGTTTATCCATTCACCTGTTGGTGGCCACTTGCGTTGTTTGCTCCTTTTGACTGTTGTGAATAATGCTGTAATGAACGTGGGTGCCCCAGTACCTGTTTGAGTCCCTGCTTTCAGTTTTGCGGTATGTACCTAGAAGTGGCATTGCTGGATCCTTTGTTAATTCGACGTTTAACTCTTCAAGGAATTGCCAAACTGACCTAAGCGCTGGACTTTTTATTTGATAACCTTTTTAAATATATTTTTTCAATTTTTAATTTTATTTTATTAAAAGGTTTATTTATTTATTTGACAGAGAGAGAGAGAGACAGACAGTGAGAGAGGGAACATAAGCAGGGGGAGTGGGAGAGGGAGAAGCAGCCTCCCCACCGAGCAGGGAGCCCGATGCAGGGCTTGATCCCAGGAACCTGGGATCACAACCTGAGCTGAAGGCAGACTCTTAATGACTGAGCCACCCAGGCGCCCCTAGATAACTTAAAAAAATTTTTTTTTAAATTAAATTTAATTAATTAATTTTTTTATTATGTTCAATTAGCCAACATACAGTACTTCATTAGTTTTTGATGTAGTGTTCATTAGTTGTGTATAACACCCAGTGCTCTAGATAACCTTTTTTAAATGAAAGAGGTATAGACTAGAAGCTATAGAACATGAGTAGTTGATTTTCCTCTTTCCTGCATTTGTTCTCTTACAAATTGTTCTCTAGGTGCTGTGATCCCAGACAAAGAGACGGTGAAGATGTACAAGGTCTAATGGTCACTCGGGGATCTTCCTGCCAGCGCAGTGGGCTGTGATCAATCCCTCTCTGGAGGACGGAGGCTTCCCACTGGTAGGGCTATTCCGTCACACCTGCCTAAGTGATCAGGGACCATAGCCTCAAAAAGATACACAGAAAAGCACATAATGGAAAGAGGGAATCCACTCCAATATAACCTACTCAGAAGGACCGACATGTTTCCCAACTTGGTTTAATTAAAAATTGATTGACCTTGAGAATGCTGTGGGAGTATGAAGCTTTTAGTTAGCAGGGAGGGGTCTTCAGTATTCTCTGGTGACCCTCAGCCCACCCCTATACTCCTTGTTTGTCCTTTTGTCCTTTGCATGTTACTGTCTGATGTCAGGGGCCTTAAAAGGCTAAAGGGGTCACAGGAGCCACTGAGATAGGTAAGGTCAAGAATTAGTTCCCTTTGCTTTGTTTTAAGGACAGTAAGACTAAGAGTGTTCACGGGCTGATAATTAGCACTTGTATGTGGGGGTCTGACTATCCCCTTTCCTTCTGACTGCCTCTGGGGTCCCTTTTTAAGCATTTTGCCTCTAAAGTGAGAGGAACCTCCCCGGGGCTAGTGCATACAATCACGCATGAAACTCTGCTCATGGCAGTAACTGGGGAAGAGGTCTGGTGTAAATGATGGAACACTTTTAAAGAAACACGATTTGATCACCTCCAAGCAGATTCAGTAATTCCCTATTAATTTAACTAAGGCTCGGCATGGAAACGTCCTATAGAAATTGGTCCTAGCAATAGATAATGATTTGTAATTAGCACGTTGTGTGTAAATGAATGCGTCTAATGACTTGCACATAATTCTTCTCTAAAGTAAGTGAAACTCTCTCTTTTACATGTAATTGATTTACACTAGTAATTGACCTGTTATTCAAAGCAGTGGTAAACTTCATCATAGCTGACATCCACTCTGTCCCACACTTCGTTAGTGGTGGCTGACGAGTGAGGTGTCGGGCTACCTGCGAAAGATCTATTAGCCTAAGAGCCTGGCCATGGGAGGGACATTTGGAATTAATCTTCAGCATCTGTAATTAAACAAGACCAGGTATACGAAATTACTTGGCTAGGCTGAGGTGTCCTGTGCTGTTCTTTGAAGAGCTGGGTGCTATGCTGAACTTCTGCACTCCAACACAGTGCTGCGACCTAAGCATCGAGCATACAAAGGGTTGGAGCTGAGTGGTTTAGAAAAATCACATGGGGAGGGAGCTAGAATTTACTGTGTTTCTGTGTCAGTGGGCACTACATCCAACATTTAACAAATTCCTCTTTGTTTGACCTTTAATCATCTATCTCTCCTTCCCTTCCTCCCTCTTTTCTCTATTTTCCTATCCATCCATCCATCCATCCACCCATCCATCCATCCATCCATCCATCTCCCCCTTTATAGATGAAGACACTGAAGCTCAGAGAAGTTAAGAAACTTGTCCAGGATATCATGGCTAGTGGTGTTGTGAGACTGGGATTTGAACCCGAGTCTGGCTGGCTCTGAAGTCCACATTTTCTCCACCACACGAACACAGTTTCAGTGGAGCCCAAGTGGCCAATCCTCAGAGGGTCAGCCTCACTGAGTTGACTCCAGGCTCTATAAGAAGAAGGGAGGCCAGTGGACAAAGGAACCCTAGGAGAGCTCTCGCTTCTTTGTGCTGGACTCAGTGGCTGGGGATAGGGAGGTCTGTGGGGGCAATCACTCACAGGCTCATGGCTCTCCTCCACAGCGGCTGCTTCTTTCAGGCTTTTGCATGACCTGTTTCAAATTTCTTACTGCCACCACATTCTCTCTGGTTGGTGGACGTCTTTAGGTTGTGTACACGTTTATTTTAGTCTCTTACCTTGAGGAATTGCCTTTTTCAATTCATCTGTGTTGGTCATAAGTCTCATGTCAACCCCTTCTAAGGTTTAGTCCTGCAGTTCTGAGAGTGTGTGTAAATGGACTCTCTAGGATGGGTGACGGGTGGCTATGCTGTGTTTGGAGGGATCAAATTTGCTCACTGGCCTCGTGGTGCAGATGTTGACGGTGGATGTGCATTCGCAGTGGAGGAATGTTGACTGTACTTTATAATTTACTCTAAGGGATTATCTGACAGTATTCAAAATTGGACAGATAAAATGCTCTCAAATACAAGCCCTCCCCAAAGAGGAGCTAAAAATAAATGCATTTTTTTATGTTGCACTGTTTGCATAAAGCAGACTTCTATGAAGGAAGTAGAACGAGGTTCATGTATAGCGGTGGTGTATTCTGGATTTGTGTGTCTGTTGTGGTTCAGAGAAGCCCTGGTACATCCAAGGAGCCTGAGGTTGTTGCCTGCTTTTGCCTTAAGGCAGCATCCTTTTTGGGGTGGGGGGGTGCAACCAGCCGGCTCACGTAGGGATACTGGCTGGGGTCCATGTTCTTGGTGTTCTGTCTTGTGGCTCCTACTCCCATAAAGTCATTGTTATTGAACTTTTTCCCCAATAGGAGGATGTTTAGTTTAAATTATGAAGGACGGTGCCACTTCTCTAACCCCCCCAATGTTAGCACGACGAGAGAAAACTGTGTTTAGTCCTCACTGGGTTTGCCTACAAACTGGATTGATTGCTAATACAAGGAAAATAGCTGCCCATTATAGATCTTCAAACTTCACCACAGGGCGAAAGCTGAAGACTCAGGGTGTTAATATACAACGAAAAAGGTCACATGGTAAGGAGTCATGGTTCTCAAAGTCTGGTCCTGAGACCAGCAGCATCAACATCACCTGAAAGCTTGTTAGAGATGCAAATTACCTACCAAGTCAGAAACTCTGGGGTTGGGGGCCAGTGATCTGTGTTTAGCAGTCACCCAGGGCATTCTGATTTGTGCTCAAACTTGAGAACCACCGGTATAGAGGAGGGCAAATGGGACAAGAAGGCAGATGAGCCAGGTTGGAGTCTTTGCCTTTTCTGAGCTGGGTGACCAAAAGCAAACCCTTATCCTCCTTGAATCTTTATTTCCTCATCTCTGGGGACAATTTTACCTGCTCTGCCCACTTGGCGGTGAAACTGAGGACACCAACCAGGACCTCAAGATGCTGTTTTGATGTAATAATTTGATGGTTGCCATCAAAACACCAAACCCCTCTATCTCTAGTTTATGAACACAGAATTCTCTTGCTAGATATATAGAGTTAAATACGTTTTCTTTATAAGTAGGGGATAAACTAATAGAAGCTTAGTAGGATTTTTGGAGAGTTTAGGTAGTTAACTCTTAAAATGGTGTCTGCAACCAGCTGATTAGAGACATAAATTGAGGACCATGAACAATCCCAGAATGTGCCCCTCGGAGCCACTGGGGACCATCCTGTAAATCTAGATTGCAAACAGTCCTAAGGAAACTATGGCAGCCACCCTGTAAGATGCCAAGGACCTCTGGGCCACACCAGGGCATTTCTTCACTGCCAATGATAGTGGAATCCAGGTAGAGAAAGGCTGCTATAGATAAGCCAATTCTTGTGATGAGCTTCTCTTGACCTACGGAGACTGAAGACTATTCCTACACTCTGGGATGCAAAGTCAGGGTCCTATCACATCCTGACCAGAATCATTAAGAGCTATAGATCTCATTGTACCTGGTATTTGCTAAAAGATAAAGGTTGGTTTCCATAACTGAAATTGTCATTTCCAGTACATTTTGTTTCCATTTTTCTTTGTTTGGGCAGGCATGTTGATATGTGGATAGCTGGTGGCCTCCCCTGGTGATCACTTGTCTAGCGCTCATGCACTTACTTATTCATTGACCTCTTTGCTTTTAGCAAAGAGCAGAACTGAGGGAGGTGAAGTAGATGTTAGCAACGTGTCAGGCAGGCTATGGGGCCTGGGCATTCACCAGGGGGTTGCCAACAACACCAGATGTCTTCCAGAGGAGCTGTGCATGGCCTGGAACGTTCAGAGCAAGGAGATAACTCCTCTACCCATTGCCATTTCTCCTGGTGATGAGTGATTAGACAAAAAGGTAATTTAAGGTCAAGGAGATACTTTCCGTGTCCTCCTCCTTCTTCTCTTGGAAATGGTCTTGCGCAAGATATTCTATCTGCTAGGAGTGGGTCCTTTTCCTTTAGAAAGATGCTGCCCTACCAGGTGTTGAGAAATGTTCAAAAACAGCCCATTTTCCCCCATGTTTACTGTCATCTGGTTATTGTGATCAAACCAACAGGTTTCAGATGTATCTCTCAGCCCAACTTTCTTGACTTAGGGCAGGAATCTAGAGCATCCACAGAATGAAGCTCTGGCAAAGGTTATTAGTAGCCAACAGTTAGGAGGAATGACAAACGTATGAAGTTATCAATCAGTGAAGGAGCAAAGGCTGTGCCTTTTGCTTTTACAGTTCCCAAAAAACCACAGAGAAAAAAAAAACGAACCTTCAGCGAATGTTTGCCAAAGAAGACAAACACACACACACTTAGCCCAGTTCTTGAAGGAGTTACTGCTTAACATTCCTCAAACTTGAACAAGTACATGAATCACCTAAATGTCTTGATGAAATGCAACTCTGATGCATTTGTTGCATCAGATGGATTAGGGGTAGGGGTCTGAGAAGAATCTCTTCCAACAAGCTCCCATGGGGTGCTGATGCTGCCGGTCCCCCAACTAAACTGAGTAGCAAGGCAGTCCTCAACACATCCCTTTTAGTTGTTCATTCTTGAACTTGTCCCTATTTTATTGGTAACTATCATGTATAATGAATGCTTTCTTCCAAATGAGAACTGGCTGGGTTATGGGAGCTACCGATCCCTCTCTAGTAATCACCCAGTATTATCTAGTAACCAGAATCTTCCAGTAGTGTATTTGAGGCTTTTCATTTTGGATCATAGTAGAGAACTTGCTACCACCAAATGAAGCGAGTGGTTGTAGTGAAATCAAAGAGTGTTTTCAAATTTGAGGCCGTTCTGATGATTGCCGCCGCCCCATGCACACTATGTTAAATGTGAGTGGAGAGCAGCAGAGAATGTTTTCTTTTTTTCCAGTCCTTTACATATGTTATGTAGAAGCTAATTTATTTTTTCCAATTCCAGGATATTTCATGCAAGTCGAAGGGGAAAATGAACACAAATGTGTGCGTCTCCTTTACCTGGTTATGTTTGATGTCTTCAGCGGGCGCACCATAGGAATTCCTATACAAAGTTGAAATTCCAGTGTTTTGAGCTAAAAACAAGAGGGAAACAGAAAGTATTAGCAAAGAAGGCAAGATTTCAAGTGAGGAATAATGGTGATCGAGGCAAGTTCTTGCCCTAACAAAAAAACTTGGTTTCTCCGGGTGCATTCCAAGTGCCATGCCACATGGAAGAATCCTTTGGTTCTGGACACTTCGTTTTATATGCAGATGTAAGAAAAAAGAACAGTTAAGTATTCTATCAAATCCCCACAGCATGGGAGTTTCTTGCAGTCACATTCAGACTGTAGACAGGCTCAGGCCAGGGCAGCAAACAGATGGGCATCTTGCCAGGATTCTTGCCTTCTCTGGTGAGAACCAGTGGGTAATAAAAGCTGGTCTCCTGCACTGAGGCATGCAGGCATCTGTATGAGCAGCTTAGCTTTGAGCTGGAGAACGACAAGAATGAAATTTCTAATTTGGGCTCACAGAGTGCTTAATCATCACGCAGACAGTTCATTTCTCAAAGGCCCGAAGGACGGGCAGGAAGTACCATCTGCATCTATCCTGCACATCTGGGTGGCTGCAGCTTTGGAACCCGGCTCCACACAGGGACACGAGCCCCTCCCCCTCTCTTGAGACGGGCCTGTAGTCTAGCTGAAAGGAAGGGAGGTCTCCTCCACTTGCCGGCAGTTTTCAAAGGCATGGGCAGGGTTTGCCCACTTCCTTCCCTAGAACCCTTGGGGCTCATGCCACAGGCCCAGAGGAAGGGCCCAGGGTGCCATTCTGCTCATAGCCGTGAAAGGCTATGAAAGGCTAAGAAAGTTCTAGAAAAAATTGTCAAGTGTCAATGGGGGTATAAAACACTCTAGAAATAAAGAAAGCCTTATCTTTTGCTTCCAGTATCTACAGAATAATAAAATAAGATGACACACCATAGCTGCTCTCTTACATATACAGTTACTCAAGACCCAAAGTCAGTAATATCGATCACTCCACTCATGACTATTTTTTAAAAAAATTTTATTATGTTATGTTAATCACCATACATTACTGGGTATTTACCCCAAAGATACAAATGTAGGGATCCGAAGGGGTACATGCACCCCAATGTTCATAGCAGCAATGTCCACAATAGCCAAACTGTGGAAAGAGCCAAGATGTCCATCAACAGATGAATGGATAAAGAAGATGTGGTTTATTTATACAATGGAATATTATGCAGCCATCAAAAGGAATGAAACCTTGCCCTTTGCAATGACATGGATGGAACTGGAGGGTGTTATGCTGAGCAAAATAAGTCAATCAGAGAAAGACATGTATCATATGATCTCACTGATATGAGGAATTCTTAATCTCAGGAAACAAACTGAGGGTTGCTGGAGTCGTGGGGGGTGGGAGGCATGGGGTGGCTGGGTGACAGACACTGGGGAGGGCATGTGCTATGGTGAGTGCTGTGAATTGTGTAAGACTGTTGAATCACAGACCTGTACCTCTGAAACAAATAATACATTATATGTTAAAAAAAAAAAAAAAAGAAGAAGATAGCAGGAGGGGAAGAATGAAAGGGGGGAAATTGGAGGGGGAGATAAACCGTGAGAGACTATGGACTCTGAGAAACAAACAGAGTTCTAGAGGGGAGGGGGTGGGGGGATGGGTTAGCCTGGTGATGGGTATTAAAGAGGGCACGTACTGATTATTAATTAAAGCACCTAACAGCTGTGCAGGAAAAGTCCTCTTGGAAAACTGCTTTAAGAAGTGAGAGCTGAGTGCCCATTCTGAATTTTAAAGGCCACCCTGACATCTTCTCTGGTTGGATGTGCGTTGCTCCTGTCTGTATTTTCACCTGGACCCCTGCTATAGAATCTTCCTTGATAGCCCAGCTTCCACCCTACCGACCCTGCTCCTCCACCCTCGCCGTTCCCAGGAGCTCAGCCGTCTTGCTAGACAGCCTGGATTATGTTACTGCCGTGCCCTGCCAAGGTACGAGCTGCAGGATTGGGGCCCTGACTGATTTTTCTCCAGTGTCTCCCTCCCTCCTTCTCTCGTCCAGGGAGCCCTAGCTACACTGGCCCTCTTTCCTCGCTGGAGCGTGCAGCTGGTCTTACTTCTGGGATGTTGTGCTTGCTGATCCTTCTCCCTGGAACTCATCTCCCCCGGACTCTGGACTGCCTCTCCCTGTCGGTGTTCAGTCTCTTGCTCTATCACCTGAAAGCAGCCCCGCCCACCTGGTACCCCACGTCTCCTGAGCCCGTTTATCTTCTCCATCCTACGCAACCCCACGCGGTACTACCTTGGGGGTGAGCCTGTTCTACTGTCTACCTTGCGCGACACCTCCCTTCACCTGCGACGGCAGAAGTGCCATGAGGCCAGAAATCGGTCTGTCCTGCCACCTTCGCCGGTATGCGGGCGTCTGGGACAGTGGCGGACGCTCACAGAGTCAGTGCTTTATTTGCTGAGGGAATGAAGGAAGAGTAACCCTGAGAATATATGCCCCCAGAGTTACGCTTTGCTGATTAAAAATGTCACTGCAGGGTGAAATTTGTGGTTTTCATTTTTCTGTTACTTGGAACAAAATGCATTTTTTATTTGTTGGAACATGCGCTGTTAGAGCCTTATGCTCCTCTTCCCTGTCTGTTTGGTGGCTTCTGAGCTAAAGACGCACCTACTGGAAGTTCTTTCCTCCTGCTCTTTGGTCCACTTCGCCTGTTTAAAAGAGGCTGTGTAGCTGAGATTGAACTTGTGGCTTTCGCAGACACATGAAACAGGTGTCTTCATGAATGCTCGGCCCTTGTACATCTGACCTAAGAGGATACTCATAAGGAAATGCCTTTTCGTCTTTTTGTATAGGCCCCCATTTCCAACGGAATCAACACATGGAAGATGAGAATGGCTTTAAAAAGGCATAAGAGAGGCTGACAAAAACGGGCTTGACCGTTTGATGTGAAGGCATCTGGGAAGCTCAGATGGGAGGGCAAAATCCCCTGGGTGAATTTTAAAGTCAGGCCATGTAGCCACTGAGATCACACAGCCCTCCTCTGATGTGTGCTTCTGACCACGTAATGTTCCCGGGGAATCATGACTGCAAGAAATCGCTCTCACTGGACTGCACGCCTGCATGAACGGCTGGCTCTGGCTTTTGGAGGGCTCCATGGTGGCAAGAGAGCACTAAGGGAGAAGACAGTTTAAAAAAGACTCCATCTCAGCTAGATGATGAATCCAGAAAAGGTGGGTGGGGGGAGCCTGGCACACCAACCTAGATAGATCTGCATTTCTTTTTTTTTTTAAAGATTATTTATTTATTTATTTATTTGACAGAGAGAGGCACAGCGAGAAAGGGAACACAAGCAGGGGGAGTGGGAGAGGGAGAAGCAGGCTTCCCGCTGAGCAGGGAGCCCGATGCGAGGCTCGATCCTAGGACCCTGGGATCATGACCTGAGCCGAAGGCAGACGCTTAACGACTGAGCCACCCAGGTGCCCCGATAGATCTGCATTTCTAAGGGCTCAGTAGAGGAGACTCAAACCCAGGCAAGGATCTGCTTTCCCTTTAAGCCGTCCCACGTTGTGTTTTGAGGCTGAAGCTTCCCATGGCTTTCCCACAGCAGAGGGAGTGTTTTCTTTGGGGGAGATGGTAGGACATCCTCTGATGTCTTAGAAACAAGGGAGACGGCAGTTTTCAGATATTTTTCAATGTACTAGCCTGTAAGGGTCCCCTGGGTATTTGTGAATGAGAACAAGGACTGCTCTTGATGTGGAGGTCACAAGAAATCTGATCTTCAGGTCAACACTGAAATGGTGGGCACGTGCAAAAGTGCTGTAGAGCCCGAGTTGGCCATTCATCCTTTCCATGCCTGTGTGAGACGTCAGCTTCCACCCAGGTTAGCTGGGGACTTATTCATGCCACTGTGTAAGATGGTAAGTAGACACCTCCTCCATCACCACCTCTACCTCCACCATCACCACCTGCTCCATCACCACCTCCATAATCACCACCTCCACCAATACCACCTCCAACTTCTCCATTACCACCTCCTCCATCACCACGTCCTCCATCACCCCCCTCACCATCACTGCCTCTTCCATCACCACCTCCTCCATCACCTTCTCCACCATCACCAACTCTACTTCCACCATCAGAATCTTCACCATCTCCTCCATCATCATCACCATCTGCTCCATCACCATCTCCACCATCACCTCCTCCACCATCACCACTTCTACTTCCACATCACCTCCTCCAGCCCCACCATCATCACCTCCTCCACCACCTCCTCCATCACTTCCTCCACCATCACCACCTCTACCTCCACCATCACCACCTGCTCCATCACCACCTCCATAATCACCACCTCCACCAATACCACCTCCAACTTCTCCATTACCACCTCCTCCATCACCACGTCCTCCATCACCCCCCTCACTATCACTGCCTCTTCCATCACCACCTCCTCCATCACCTTCTCCACCATCACCAACTCTACTTCCACCATCAGAATCTTCACCATCTCCTCCATCATCATCACCATCTGCTCCATCACCATCTCCACCATCACCTCCTCCACCATCACCACTTCTACTTCCACATCACCTCCTCCAGCCCCACCATCATCACCTCCTCCACCACCTCCTCCATCACTTCCTCCACCATCACCACCATCACCTCCACCATTCTACCTCTACTTCCATCACTCCAAACTTCACTACCTCCACTACATCACCTCCACCACCAACACTGTAGATAATACAACTAACTTTTACACAGTACTCGTTGGCTTAAAGGGAACCTTCCTGTATACGTTCAATGTTCTTTCAGGTTTGCTAGATGATCGATACTGTAGTTTTGAGTTTTTTTTTTTTTTTTTGAATTGCTTTTTAAAGTAAGTCAGAGCAAAGATGTTTAAGCCTCTTACATTAGTTAAAAAATGATATATATCTCAGTACTGGAATTATCAAGATCCCTGTCATTAAACATCTAGAAACATGTTAGATTTTCTTTTTTTCTTTTATTATGTGTGCAAGGAAAGATTATGTACCATTGGAACTATTTCAACAGAAACACACACACATTCAAAAGCCTTTTGAAGGATTCTACCGGGCAAGAGAGAAAAGTTAAATAACAATGCAGTCAACTTCACATTTGTTCTTGTAATTATAATCTCAACTGGTCATCCCAGAGTGCCAGCCATGTGGCTACCTAGGGCAATCATAATTGCAAAATGAATGGGCCAGGGGAATTGGGTGTCACCACTCCAGAGCAACCGGTACAAATTAGATTCTCTGCTGAATGCATTGACTCTAGGGACTCGACATTCAGATTCGTAGCTTCCTCTGTTCATGCTTGTCTACAACAGGGGAAACATTTAAGGCAGGAAAGCAGTGAATAAGAATAATAAGGTATGTCCTGTGTAATGAGTGCAGGCGTCAGACATTCCCTGGTAGGTGTGTATGTGGAGGGCAGAGTGCTGACCACGGGGGTTTATTGTGCTTTTCTCTCTTGCAGTCAATGCTGAGTTACCATGGAAAACACTGCCTTGGGGGTAAATGCATTTACCTTAGAAAAATTTATCTTAAATGGCCTGGGTTTGGTAGACCTCTTAATAAATCATCCAATTTGTCTATTCTGCTTCCCTGCAGGTCTACACCTAAATAATAGCTGAGAAACTCACACTTTTAAGATCCTCTTGATAAGAAGGTCTCAGTGTGTGTTTAGGATTATGGCCTTCACACCTCAGTTTCATGATTGGCTATGTTCTGTTAAAACCCTACTCCTCACGGCCTATTTTCATGAGGGACCCATCTGCACTTCCATGTGGCAGAGAGGGGGTGGAATCCCTAGTGGAGATCCTATTGGCTCTGGCAGCTCAGTTTTCAAGGCATAACCTCTTCTACACCAATGCCCCCAAGTCCTGCTTCTTGGAGGAAGGGAAAGACCAGGGCAGGGGAAAGTGTATGGAGAGCCAGGAAGGGATGATGAATGGGAACAAGGAGAGTTGTAGAGAACAGAAGGGAGTTAAGGGCAAGGCTAGTTATTAGAAAGGCCGGGCAGCGCATGTTGGATGGGTGGCAATGGGCACCAATTTTGGCCTTGCTGGAGTCCCAGTTGATGAGAAGGGAGAGACAAGGGGTACGATCGGGGTAGTGAGGGATGGAGGGGATAAAACATCAATGCATCCATAGAGAAATTGTGATTATTGGCTCTAATGAATCTCCTTAGGAGTCTGTCATGATAAAAGATGGGTTTCATGTCAAGAAGAGAAAATGTCTCAGCAGGAGTTCCGTGGGTTTCCCTGAAATCCTCTTTCTTTGTTCCCTTCCCCTCTCTTCCCCTTCTTTTCTTATCCGTTTCCCCTTCCTTCTGTTCATGATGGCAAAGCTTGGCTACAGTGCACCCACCATCTTGAGTCCTCTCCACTCCAGATTATGCCAGCTAAGAAGAAATCTATTGTGACTCCACTCTCTAATTTGAGGGAATATTATGAGCTGGGCAAGCAAGAAGGAAAGGGGGAGGTGAGAGGTGAAAGAATAAAATGTGCATAGAGAACATTTTCTCTTAGTTAATTTCAGGTATAAGGCACTCAGTTTTTATTCCTCTGGCTTAATCTCCTTGCCCCCAATTCCTGAGACTCCTTGCTGTCAAGCTCTCAAGTGACTTGCTAGCTGCTAAGTCCTGCTGAGCTGCTGAGTGTGGCTTTGAGTCTCATGTCCTGGCCCTTGACCCTGTCCCAGATCACGTCACCAGCTCGGAGGAGAGAAGGCACAGAGCTGCGCTCACCTGTCATGGTGTCTTTCCTGGAAGTGTGTTCTCCTTTAGTTCCGTGGTAAGTGGCATTGTTGCCAGTGGATTCATAGTCTGTTTTCCTTTCTTTGAGGCTGATCATTTCCCGAGGTGAAGCTGGGGCACTTGCTACATAAAGAAATCAAAAGGAAGACTCTCTGTGTCTCATTCCACAGCACAGATAGCTTTTCACACAAACAGCTAAGGTCATGAAGACACATGGCTCAACCTATACCAATATGTGTGCATGGACCTGCTGATTCTTTGTTCTTTTAGCTCTCGTCTTTACACCTTCCCTGTACTCCCTGTCACTTGGTGCTTTCTAGTTAAGGGGGCACTCAGCTTGGGGGTTGGTAATTAAAGACTATTTCCTGGGGCCATCTTTCTTAGAAAGATATCCTGATGGGGACGTGACCCACCAAAGGTGTACAAGACAGTTTTAAGAATGAGAGCAGACTTGTTTTCTTTATTTCTCTTTCTCTTCTCTTCTCCTTTCTTTCCCTTCCCCTCCCTCCCTTTCTCTCCCCCTTCCTCCCTTCCTTCTTTTCTTCCTTTGTTCCTTTTTAAAAATTAGATGTGTTTCAGAGGAGCTGTTATTGATCTTGGAGAATCCCTGATTAAAATAAATGCAGTCTTACTTAAATTCTGAGTGACCCAGAAACTGTCCTAAAGGAAGCCAGATGAACACCCAGGGTGTTTTGTGGGGCTGAAGTCACCCAACCTGCAAAGATCAGCCCAGGTGGTGGGCTGGGCAGGATGTGCAGAGAGCTCATTCCCCGATGAGCTATCCTTGATGAACACCCCCAGCAATCTCTCACCGACACCTGGCACCCTGGCTGCTTGCTGCCTGTCGGACCTGGGGAGGGAGCCCCAACTTCTCTTTGGATCCCTGTCGTTAAGTTTAGTATCTTCTATGGGCAAATCCCTATGCTAGACACTGGGAAACAGAAACATGAATCATGTCCCTTTCTGAACTCGTGGGGGTCAGGAAATGGACATGCAAATAAACAGAATCAGGGGCAGAGGGCTTAGTAGACGTTGCAGCCACATGCAGGCGAGAGAAACAGAGGGAGCCTTTGCCCATCCTTTTCTGAGAGGCAGCCTACCTATTTCTCAAACCTACCCAAACAAAACCCAGGCTTGCTGCCCAGCTATCAAAACCCTGAGAGGTCCCATTAGAATTAAATCCTTGGAATACTTTCAAAAATACTGATACTTGAGCCCCACCCAGAACCAGTTGCATCAGAGTCTCTGGGTGTAAGTCTATTGGGAAGACAGGGAAGAAAATGGCATTTGCTGCACATAACTGGACTGGGATGTGTGTCCAGTTCTCGCGTGTTCTCAGAATATCGGCTGCTGGCTCTCGCTCACCTCCTCCACCCTCTACCGCTCTCTCTCCTCTCTTCTGTTCTCTGTCTTCCTCTCCTGGGAGAGTCCTTTCCCTGCCCTTGCTCCTTTGCCTCTAGGTCCTCCTGCATAAAGGCTAACCTTTTACAAGTCACTGCCAGGCAACCACGAAGGGACAAAGGAGCCTCTTGACCAAAGCTCTCAAAATTAGCATCTAATAGCGCGCAGATGGTGGGGTTTAGTAAACTATGTCAAGTGTGTAATTATCTCTCAAGACCTCATACACAGTGGTCCGAGTCTCCGGTAAACTAAGATTATACTCCTGGAAAAAATCAAATCACGCCAACAAGTGTTCACTAGGTGTCTTTGATGTGCCTCAGGAGGAAAGAGCAGGCTGGGGGAGCTCTTCCCACTCTGCCCCTTCTCCTTCCAGGCACCTTCTGATCTACTGTGTTTGTTCATCCTTCTAACACTGATGTGTTCGCAATAATTAGGGCTTTTAAAAAGACACCATCCTCGTGCTTCCCAGAATCACTATTCTTTATCTTGTTAAGATGTCTGGAGGTAAAAGACACGTGAAAGGTCACCCCTGTGCTTCCAAAGGTGGAAATTTCTCCATCCCATGGTGGTGTCCGATTCTCCTCTAGTGGAGGACCGAACATTACAAGCGGTTACACCACACTAGAAATAGAAGCTTTCATGGGGTTGGGAGAGAGTCATTTATTTCAGTCAAATGTTCCCCATTCGTGTCTGATTTTCATCATCATTCTGACAGTAAAGTGTGGTGTAAAGTTTGACGGCCAACGATCTCAAGGGCAGATGAGCATCTCCTACCAAGCCCTCTGAGACCCAGTTGCCCAGTGGATGGAGGGCAGCAAAGAGCAAGTAGAAACTCTTCTTAAATAAAAACCTAGATAGGGGTGTGTGTGTGCACGTGTATGTGTGTGTGCACGCACACACACACGCATGTGCACACACACACATCTATCTAGGTTTTTATATAATTATTTATCCATCCTTCCTTCTCACAACAAAACTCGAAATGCAGAAATCAAAAGAACAGTCTTTAAACTTACACTTGGAATAAAAACAATGAAGACTATGCCACTATATATTAAATGATGTGCTAATATTTTGCCTTTAATTTTTTCCTTAATCTTAGGCATTATATAATGAGATGAAAAGGGTATAAAAATGAAGTATTTTTACAAGTAAATAAGAGTAGTTAGTTGAAAATTTAAGCAATAGGATCGTGACAAAATTAGAAAAAAAAATTTAAACTGAGTGACTTAATAGTTCTGGGTGGTTGTGATAAGACTTTATCAATGATTTATCAGCTGGCTTAAAGGTAATAATAACCGGCTAATCAGATGTGGAGTAGTAATGAAACCCTCAATGAGATATTTCAAATGTATGTCATTTTAAAGCAAGAAACAGCATGCCCTTTCTCCCTTACTCTATTATTCCAATTATAATCAATACAATGCAACTCAAACTATTTTAAGTTGGAAAAACGCCCACGGAAAACCCTGATTTGCAAATATCTGACAGCTATCTTTATTCTCGTTGCTCACTGAAAGCAGGTCCATGACATGCATTTCATGTGTATAACTGTTTGAGATTTTTAGAAATCTGTTGGATTTGTTTTGAGTCTGTGTAAACATAACACAATGTCACCACTGCTAGAAAAGAAAACGGACTCATTTGATATTTCTAGCAAATGTCCAGACTGGGATGGCTCTCTTTCTGGGGGGTGGGTCAGCTAAGAGGCTGGAAGGAGGGCCCTGGCGCCGAGGGAAATCAGGCCTGGCTGGCTCCGGGCGTCTCTTACCTGAGCGGTTGTTGGGAGACACTCTCACAGGGGAGATGGAGGGCGTGCGGGAGGAGGAGTAGGGCCTTTGCCGATCCCTCTCGATGGTTGACGATGAGGCTACGAAGTGATACTGTGACCATCCATCCTGAAATAGACAGCATGTTCCTATTAAGTGGGGAAGGTGGAGTGATTCTTCATCCCCTGACATTTCACAGTTCCCAACATTTGATTTTACAAAACATTTCTACAGTCTGTCAAAAGAGATCACGGAGCCCTGCTCAATCATCAAGGTAGCAGAGAGGAGCGTGAACTGAGACCCATCTCACTCTTTCCAGACAGCCTGCACGGGGAGGGCCTGCTTTTAGGGCTGGCTTTCCTTTCCAGATGTTGAATAAATGGTCTCTTTATTTAAATGGAAATACGATGCTCAGAATGTGAGATGACCCTGGAACTGTCTATTCTTTACCTACCTGGTTCCACCTCTGCCTGGACCTCTTCTCAACAAGACCGTCACTGTGTATTCACACCCAGATGGGTATGGTATGTTCTCTAGTTTAATCCAGGAACTGTATTTTTCACTTTAGAGTCTATTCGAAATGTGTCCTACCAATTAACCCACCATTAAGCCTTCTTTTTTATACAGATTTTTTAATTTATTCATTTGAGAGAGAGAGAGAGTGAGTGCACAAGCAGGAGGGAGGGTCAGAGGGAGAGGGAGAAGCAGATCCCCTGCTGAGTGGGGAGCTCGATGCGGGGCTCCATCCCAGGACCCTGGGATCATGACCTGAGCCGAAGGCAGAGGCTTAACCGACTGAGCCACGCAGGCGTCCCTCTATTAAGCCATCTAATATCTAGTAAATATGTAAAAAGGCACATACACCGTTTTTCATTATAAAACCCAAAGAAATACACTGTGGATCATTTCATGAATTTGGAAAACATAAAGAAGAAAAAAAAACTGTCAATAGTTCCAGGTTGCCCCAGAACTCCTGTTAACACACCACAGTAACTCCTTTCGGTGTTTTCTCCTTTTTAATTCAAGTTTATTTGTATCAAAGTCATATGTCAAATGGCAGTGACACCACCCCAAGGACCACCTGCCCACCCCCACCTCCCCATTCCTGCTTCACAGAAGCAACCAGTTCAACTCTTCTGGCTTTTTTCTTTTTCTGGTTATATTTAGACTTTTAAGGGACTCCACGTTCTCTTAAAGAATCATTGCAGACAGAAATAGATGGAAGTTAATGAAGAACAAAATTCATACTCATTTCAGTATTTGTGTCTTTGTTTCTCTAATTCTGATTCCTGTTCTGTTTGGCTGGTAGGATAAAGCCAAGGTTGGAAGTATGCTATTTTAAAAGCTATTACCTAGCACTTAATTGAGAACTTAGTACAAGACAATATTTTCTCAACAATCTCATAGGCTGGATGCTATTTGTGTCCCATTTTACTGAGCCTCAGACAGTTAATAGGCCACCTAAAGTCACACACTAAGCAAGTAAAGAAATAGCGATACTGAAATGTGGCATACTTGTAAGTACTGGAAGGTGAGGAGATCGAAGAATTCAGGTGGGGAATACTGGTGTTGTTAGTTTATGGGATGTGGCAGTGGAATGTGTGTCACTCTGGGAACAGTTAGCTTTGCAGCAGGGACCCGGAGGATGATAAGGACCCAGATGCCGAAGACACAGCCTGGAGTTCCCAAGCCAAGGGAAGAGCAGATGTGAAGGCAGGTGGACATGGTCTAGGTGCATAGGAGAGCCACTGGAAGTCCCTGTGGCTGAGGAGTGATCAAGGGGCACCAGGAAATCAAGAAGCCTTCTGAGTGTCTAGAACAGTTTGGGGAGAGTAGAATAGAACCAGGGATACCAGGTAAGAAGCTATTCCACTAGAGTAGGGAGACATAATCCTGGCTTGGATGGGGGCCGATGATGAGCAATGGGCAGATTTGGCATCTGTGCTGGAGGATTTGCTGATGACTTGGCTACTGGGTGAAGGAAAGAGGAATCAAGCTTTACCCCAGGGCTTCTGGTGTGAACCACAGGGGACTGGGGGTGCCATTTACTGAGATAAGGAATACTGGGAGAGAAGTAGCTTTAGGTGGTGAAACCAATACTGCCATTTGGGACAAGTTGGGTAGAGATGCCATTGGACATGAAAGAGAAGCTACAGAATAAAGCAGAGTCTGCAAATTGGGATTTCAGGAGCAATGTCAGGGCTGGAGATAACATTTTGGAGTTCAGCATAGAGATGTTATTTAGAACAAGGAGAATGGATAGGAACATGAATGCAAATAAAGGCAAGCAGGAGACACAAGGTGAGCCCCGGGACACTAATATTTAGAGGGTGTGAAAAGACGATTCAGAGGAGCCTGAGAAGGGACAGAGAGAGCTGGAAGGAGGGCCAGGAGGGTGTGAGGTCAGAAAAGACCAGTAAAGCAGATGCATAAAGGAGAAGGAGACAACTGGATGATAGGCAAGACCAGGAACTGACCACCAGCCTGGGGAACATGGAAGCCATGATGACGGGGACAAAAGTACTTTCTTTGGTTAGGCTGGCATATGTCTAACTCAGGTGGGCTCCAAAGATAATGAGAGTTGATGAAGGGGAAGAGTGAGCACAGACCACCTTTGACAAAGTTTTATTATTATGGAGAGTGGAGAAATGGGGCTTGGAGAGGTTGAGTGGCCAAGAGATGTTTTCATAGATCACCCGGAAGATTCTGAGCGTTTCATTCACCATTGGGAGTGACTCAACAGAGAGAAGCGAATTGCTGGTGATGTCACAGAGGAAGCAAGCAGTTGCAGGAGGGATTTCACGGAGGAGTGCTGAGAAGATTCGGGAACAATGGGCTGGTGGGCCACGGAACAAGAGTGAGGACAGCCGGGCTATGTAGCCACAGCCATAGCAAGAACATGGGAGATTTGGTGGCAGGAGGATGAGGACATTCTCTTGTATTTTCTTGCTTGTTCTCCAGGTGGGGTGAGAAGTGAGGTCATCTGCTGAGTGTGAGGAAAAGTTGGAGCTTAGAGAATAGGAGGGAGGAGGGGGACAGAAGAGAGGAAGAAGGGAAGGTGTGAAACGGTTCTTGGGGGGCAAGTTGACCATAGCCAGGGGTCTAGTGGCCAGGGTGCTGAGAGGCAACTTGAGGCAGGTGGCAAGGAATTTAAAAAGAGACAACAGGTCAGCATGTTGCTTTTCTCCAGCCAAGTTCAGCTGCCCTGTGGCAGGTATGAACTGGATGGAACTGGATGGGAGTGGTCAGGAAGGAGCTTGGAAGGATACAGGGACTGCAAATAGAATGCCATGGAAGCCCATGGAATCCAAGCCAGGGATAGAGGAAAAGGAAGATGTTGGGGAAGAGATGGAAAATGAAAACTAGTTGGTGGGCTGCAGATCCTAAAAGCATCATAGGCTGTTGGGGTGAGAGTACTTCACAGATGCCGGGGTTTTTCCTAGGGAGGGGGATGGGAAATGAAACAGCTACTACGTGAGAGGGCAGCAGGGAGGCGGGGGTAGGGATAGCAGACCATGGGTTAAAGAGAGAGACGAATGGGAGGCAGGTAGAAGAAAAGTGGGATATTGGGGCAGATTACTGGATATTCCGAACCTTTAAATGATAAGAATCCAGTAACCGTAGATGACTCAAGAGTCTTGACTGAGGTGATGAGGGGCGTAAGGCATAAGTTCTCCTCAGGGAAAGGTCGGGGAGTGTCATGCTAAGGGGTAGGTGTCAGGACAGAAGGAGAAAATGTCTCCACGGGAATTCTTTGCATTTCCCTTCAGTCCTCTGAGGGTGGTGGCAAGGATGGGGAAGGAGTAGTCTTACAAAAGCATTTGCAGGATTGGAACCATTTCAAAAGTGTATATGTGGGGTGCCTGGGTGGCTCAGATGGTTAAGCATCTGCCTTCAGCTCAGGTCATGATCCCGGGGTCCTGGGATCGAGCCCCACATCGGGCTCCCAGCTCATCGGGGAGTCTGCTTCTCCCTCTCCCTCTGCCTGCCGCTCTCTCTCTCTGTCAAATAAATAAAATCTTTTTTAAAAAGTATATGTGCATCCATTATTCATATCTGGGAACAATTTGAAAAATTGCTTGAACAGGCATTCCTTTCTTTTGAAGGTAATGCTTTGTTGACTGCAAAAAATCCTTAAACATGACCAATAGAAGTGGATCATGTTATGTTTGTCTCACAGTTTAGAAGATATGCTCTGGGGTTCCAAGTAATGGCTCAGGGAACTGTTTTAATAAAAACTTCAGCTTCTTTGGTCATGAATAAGTCATGATACTCCATATGTCATTAAGGGCAAAGTATTTTACAATATGGACATCAGCTAACATTTCGTATGTTCTAAGACCAAAGGAGACACTAGACATCAACATGGCATGACTCTAGGTTGGGTTTAGTTTTACTTGGTGAGAGGGCAATGGATTAGTCAGCATCCCTTATGCAGATGATCGGAGATATGTTTTGCTCGCAGTTAAGATTCCATGATGCGGGACCATGTAAGTACTTACATCTCTGGAAATGTCAGGAAAGTGGATGTAATACTAAAACTGCTTACAAAGGAAGAAATCCTTATAGGGATGCACGAAAAAAAAGGTTTCAAATCCCTCATAAGACCCAATTCCTGGCCTACAAAGGCATGGCGGAGGGTGACTTGCAGGTAACCTGTCTGTGGGTAAAGGGATCAGCACATACTTGAGGATGATGAAGAGCGTGTTTAGAGGCATCGAGAATGCCAGCCTCAGTCTGACACCTCGGCACATGGCCCTCGATTGTATGCATGTGGGCCCAGAGACTTTAATGGAGGTGGGAAGGGGAGCTTAGGGAACAGGGCCAAGTGGAAACCCGATGAAGTCTCTTGATGAGAAGAGTTTCCTGAGCCCCAGCAGGGGCAAGGAGGGGCAACCCGGTTCCCGCCCATGGCCGTCTTCCCTCTCATTCACTGATGCAGACCGAACATGGAAATCCCACATTGCTACTACGCTCAACAATGCCCAGGAGGGACCCCACAGTTTTAATTCTGTGGTGGGAATTCCCCAGTGTTATGGAAAGCAGTGCATCTGATGCTAGACAGGAAGGTACAGATCAATCAATAAGTTATGTTGAATAATTAATTACCTTGAAGATAAGTCTCATGC